AGAATCTCTACATACCTTTCTAGAATCAAGTGTGAAAACACCAGTGTATGCCACCGCGTGCCCTCCCCCCACCCCCAGTTTGCAAAGGCATCAGTCATTCCCATGCTCTCTGGACCGCCGCATTCTATAGCTGGGCATGGGTACCCAGCTGCCAGCTGCACCAGCCAGACCTGAGGTCACTAGAGTTTAGGCCCAATTTGTTTCCATTCCAGTCTTTAAATTCTATTTCAAGCATACACATGTTCAGAATGCAGATGTGGCGATGAAAACCAGGCCCTTTGGGGTGGCAAGGCTATGATATTGAACTGCTGCAAGGCAATTCTATAGAGGCCTCACCGGGGGATTGTGTCAGGCCTAGCCTTTAGGGATGGTTGTAGTCTTTTTCTTATGGTTTGAGCTAACCCATGGGACAGTCTCCATAATTCTCATTTGGAGCAAAACCTTCCGCACTCTGTGATTAGACTTGGAAAGATTTTTCTCTGCACTTTAAAGAATTTGTGACCTCATAAGCACACAGAGAACTCTCTCCCTGAGAATCTGACACAGCATGGGCAGCAAGGAGTAACAGGACTGCTCTGGCCTAACACACAAAGATGACTAGGGACGAGTTTATGTTAATTTACAAGTGGGATGCTAAGAACATCATCTAGTAAAAGAATGTACAGCTCAGGTAGTCCTTTACCCAAAGTCCCCTTTAGATGATTAATAATTGTCAATTCATTCCGTATATATTTATTAAGAACCTGCAATAGAGGCTGAAGATGACTTGGCTGTTGAATATGTAGTGTTCCAGAAGCAGAGACAGGGAATCCCCAGGGCCAGATAGTTACCAAGACGAGTCCTATCAATGCCCTCTGGGTTTGGCAGCGAGGCCCTGCCTCAGGGCATAGTGTAGAACAGTAATCAAGGATGACTCCCCATATCAGCCTTGGGCCTCCACATGCATGCATACACACACACACACACACACACACACACACACACTCACACTCACACTCACACATGAAAGGTGGGGAAAGAAGAGACAGATAATAAGCACTTTGATAATTATGAAGAACAATGACCAAAAAAAAAAAAAAAAGGCTTTTGAAACTTCGTGTTCAGGGCTGGTGTGAGGGTTCAGTGGTTAAGAGAGCTTGCCGCTTTTTTAGAGGACCCAGTTTGGTTCCCAGCACCCATGTGGCTGCTTATTATGCTACTGGTATCTCCAGTCCCAGGGAATCACTCACCACCTTCTTTTGATCTCCACGGGCTCCTGCATGCATATTGTACACACCAACCCACCCAGGCATCCATATGTATACGTAAAAATATGAAATACATAAATATCTTAGAAAATCGCTATTCTCATGAAACTTAGCCTAGCCAAAGGGTCAAATGCCTTTCTGGAATCAAGTGGGAGAGCAGCACTCCCTTCTGTTTGCAAAGACCTCAGTCCTGTCCTGTCTGGACCTCAGTCCTGTCCTGTCTCATTCTGTACTCAGCTGGCAGCCAGACCTGAGGTCTAGAATTAAGATATGAATCTGTACCACCTGGAAAGAAAAGTTAGGGAACGGAAAGAAAATGGGGATAGGATATATAATAATATATATAATAATAGGCAAAGTAGCTGTTGAAATTCTATCTGAGATATCCAGGGACCCTCACTAAGAGGATGAGGGTTTAGTAAACACCTGACTGATGCCATGGAGGGTTAGAAACTTAGATGGGACATACATTCTGCTGTTTTTTCTTTCCTTCCTTCCTTCCTTCCTTCCTTCCTTCCTTTCTTCCTTCCTTCCTTCTTTCTTTCATGTACTTGAGTGTTTTAATTGAATGTATGTCTGTGTGACGGTGTCAGATCCCCTGGAACAGGAAATACAGATAGTTGAACTGCCATTTGGGTGCTGGGGATTGAACCCTGGTCCTCTAGGAAGAACAACCATTGCTCCTAACCAGTGAGCCATCTCTCCAGCCACCCACTGAATTTTCTTAAGTGCTGCTCTATGTTCCTTTGGCTTCTGGTTGATACTGAGAAAGACAACCTCTTTCTGATGCCTGGCTCTTCCTCTCTGGCTTTCTCCCACCTCTGCAAGCCTTCAGGACATGTCTCAATGACAAGCTTATGTGTGTTAGGCATTTCATACACGCTTTCAGTCTGCAGTCTCTTCAACCTTAGTTACAGAAAGAGAAAAGACAATCTTGTATTTTTTTTTTTTGAAACTGTCTTTGTTTTTCCTGCTCTTTTTTATTCCATCCTTTTTTTCTAGGGATGCCTAATAAAAATCTTACATGTTTTCCTCTTTCATGTTAAAGGCTTTCATAGTCTGACATGTTTGGAAGTCTGTTAGTGTGAAAAAGGGAAATATAGATGTGTACCTGATGGCAGATGTTCATAAAGAGTGACTAGCATGGCTCTTTCACAGAATCTGGGGGTCTCTTTCTCTGGGCCACTCTGATATCTAGGGAACTTTCCTAGGTCCATATAGTAGAGTGCCATGCCCCTTGCGTTGTCTTATAAGCCTGATCAGCCAGAATCCAATCTTCAGTTAAACATTTCAGGCTTGTTAAATGAACACAGTGAGGAATTCCTTGGTTGAGTTGTGAGGGAAGGGAAAGATAAGAAAAATTGAGTCAAGCCTCATCCTTAAAGCTTGGTATGCCCATCTTTTAAGAAAGCCTGGCAGTCCTGGGTTTCTTTGGTTCTACCCACTTTATAATGAGCTCTTCCTTTGAAGATGACTATGTTAGCTTTCTCTCATCTGTACCTTCTCTTCTTTCTTCTTTTAATTCTTTGATGTGTGCTTTTTCTTATTTCCTTAACATTTCAGTGGAGTTTCTGGAGAGTACGTTTGTTGGGTGAGATGCCATATTTAACTGGAAGCTATCTGTTCCTTTTTCAGTCTCTTTCCACTAACACCTACCCTAGTGGTGCTAGTCTCCTCCCCGGTATCATCTCACAGACACAAAATCATTAGGATCCAAATGAAGTCTCAGCAGCTTTGCTTTAACACTCCAGTTATCCAAGTCTAAATAGCAGATGAAGGCAAGTGTGTTTGTTTCTTTTCTGTTGCTATAATAAAATACCCTGACCCAAAATTAAAACATAAATAAATAAATACAGAAATACAGAAATAAATAAATGCAAGCCTAGGAAGAAAGGGTTTATTTTAGCTTACAGTTCCAGAAGCATAAAGTCCAACATGGTCAGAAAAAACATGGCAACAGGCAAGGAAGGCTTACTAGCAAGAATATGAATCTGAGTGATCACATTTCATCCACACAAAACAAAGAAGAGAAGAGCAAATGGGGCCAGGCTATAAAACTTCCAATCCTGCCCCTAGTGATGCACTTTCTCCAGCAAGGCTTCACTTCCTAAAGGTTTCATATGCAACCAAACAAGTGCCACCAGCTGGTAGCACATATTCAAACATGCCCCCCCGGAACATTTGATATTCAAACCACAGCAGCAAGAGCCTCCAGTCATTTACTGGCTTAGTACCCTGCTATTGCAGCAGCGATTAGTGGGACCTGTCCTTCTGTCACATGTGGGGAGTCCACAACTGAGATGTCCATCCGCTGTTTCTAGCTGCACAGGGTACACTGCGGGAGCAGGCAGGCAGGGCTCCCATCTGTAAGATGCGGGTTGTTGTTGTTGTTTCTATGTCCGCCCTTGCGCTTAATGACACAGAGATCTTTATATTTATTAAAGCTTCAGGCAGTCAGGCATGGTGCCACACTCCTTTAATCCCAGCACTCAGGGAGGCAGAGGCCGGTAGATCACTGTGAGTTCTAGACCATCCTGGTCTACAAAGTGAGTCCAGGACAGCCAAGGCCACACAGAGAAACCCTGTCTCTGGGGGAGAGAGGGTGTTTCAGGCACTATAGCTGGACAAATACTCAACTATTCTAACCTGACAATTCTGACCTGGTCTACTTCCCAGCTGTGTGGCCCATTACCCGCCATCTTAGCCTTGCCCTGGCACCTACTTCTGTCTTCATCCATGTCTCAATGGCAACTTCCACCTCCAGTCCCCACCCAAGATTCTTTCACTGTCCAGCTATAGGCTGTTTGGCTCATTATTTGACTAACACAGTAAAACAGGGGATGCTTTACAAAAATGACAAGGCCGAAATCCAGCCTGAATCAAATCTGCCTGGCACAAAAGTTAGCATTTGAAAAACAGAAGGATTATCCAAGCATAGAGCACAAAAACAGCACTCCAACACCCATTCTTCTACTTGTGACCTCTTTCTGGGATTAGGTTGAAGTCCTCAGTTTTGGGTTCTGTAGGGGAACATCCTCAAAGCTCACTCATCAAGAAGACAAATCCAGTGTGCCAGGAAGTATCTATGCTGCACTATGCTGGCTAGTCGGCCAGGACAAGACATACACCCCCTTGGAACTCTGATGGTAATCGTGGTAACCAACTTGTCACATTTTTATTTGGTATGTCGCAATGCCAGACTCTTGAGGGAGGGTTAATGTGATATGAAGATTCAACAGCTATACTAAAACCACAGAAATGTGCTACCATTTCCACTTGAAGTGCTTCTGAATGAACCACCCAGACAAGCTCTGCATCTTATGCTGTAATGATTATGTTCCCAGTTAATGAAATACATGCCAAAAACAACCCTGTAGGCCAGAGTCCAAACATACCTTCTGAGGACATTACATATTGTCTTTTGCTATAGGTAACAAGGTTAACTCCTTGTACTTTTGATTCTTATTAAAAAGAAAGAAAGAAAGAAAGAAAGAAAGAAAGAAAGAAAGAAAGAAAGAAAGAAAGAAAGAAAGAAAGAAAGAAAGAAAGAAAAGGCAGGGAAATAAAACTGGATACTTACATGATAAATAGATAGTACATCCTGTGGCAGCTCCAGTTGAGCATGCCCCGGTACTTGCTTTTCAAGTTTGTCCTGAGCATCTACCTCAGGGCGGTAGAAGTAACCTAGCTTGTGCTTCACATCCCATGGTTCTTGATCTGTCAGCTGACAATTGTATGCTCCTCTGCATGCAGGTGTTCTCTATCTCCAATATGGGGATGAAACCAAACAGCTGCGGATGCCGAATGAAATCACAAGCGCAGACACGATCCGCGCACTCTTTGTAAGTGCCTTTCCACAGCAGCTCACCATGAAAATGCTGGAGTCACCCAGTGTTGCCATCTACATCAAAGACGAAAGCAGAAATGTCTATTATGAGTTGAATGATGTGAGGTAAGTAATTACCTTTGAGGATATTCTTTTAGAGTGTATTTGTCTCCATCTATTTTATTTTGAGGGTCTTTGACCACCATATTGGATGTCTAGAGTTTGTGTTCAGTCCGAGTTTCTCCTCATCCTGATGGAGTCATTACATTTGGCAGAACTGTTGCACACACCTCTAGTTACCTATAGTTAAATACAAAGGTGAGAGCGGACTTCTTCCAGGTAGAACTTTGAATGTGTTATTAGCTCTGTGTATATTAATGCTGAAAGGACATAAATGATCCAGCACCTCATTGCATCTAGAAGTCAAGCAAACTAAAGCCTAGAGAAATGCCAACAGCTAAAGGCAAACTTAAGACTGAATTTTCAAACGCCCTCATGAAGTGCCCTTTCTCCCATGACAGAACCTGTAGGTGTTTTAGGTAACAATCCCACTGGGCCTTCACTTACACCTCACACGTTCGTTCGCAGTGAAGCAGTGGACTCAGTGCCCACAGAAACAGCCTCACATTCCATTCTAAAGAGTCAGCCTTTCCCCAGGGCTGCCACTGGCAAATGGGCTTTCTCCAGGAGGAAAGTCACAGTAAGACTAGCAGCAGGAGACAGAAGTGCTGTCATTAACTGCAGAAGTGTTGTCTACAGAACGAGGGCCAGAGAGACATGATTTAAAGCCATACAAACAAGCAGTTGCTGGTATTGCGCCTAAGTATTTTGGAGGTCAAACTATTATATAATGACAATCTAACCCTTTCATTGCATGGAACCAGGAACTCAGGTGTATCAAAGTTAAGGGTTTTATTCAGGGACACAGCCAATTAAAAACCACGCATACTTATGCGTGCGCGCACACACACACACACACACACACACACACTCACACTCCAACCCCAGCTGCTTACATGATCAGCCCAAATCTGAGGGACAGAACTCAGGCTTTCTGGTCTGTAAACTGGGGATAGCTGGCTCCCCTGTTTCATTTGTCATCTTGGAAAGAACGAGTAGCACTTTGTAAAAGTGTGCCCACAGAGCACGAATGCAAGCTGATCCATATCAGTGATCCCGGATGACATACTGAGACATCTGCCAAGGTGTATGAGTAATTTAGGGCTTTCAGAATTTGAACATGCCCCAAGCTATAGGTGCTACATCTGTTGTGCAAATTCCTGCTTTTGGAAAACAAGTTTAAATATTTATGATAACTGAGAAGTCAAACTTATTTTTTAAATAAATTATTAATCAAGCTGTCACCATTTTAAAATAATTTACAAAACATAAAGTTAAACCTGAGCTAATTACATTGTTTGAAACATATACTTGTAATAACATAAAGCCATGTACTTTCACTTGGACAGACCACTTCAATCATCTTGTATTTCAGCATTCACAGGTACAGGCATTGAGGAACAGCAATAGTGAATAAGTGTGAAGTAAGCAAAAGCACTTGATTTCTGGCTGTGAGTAGGCGATTGGGAGTAACTACAGTGCACTCACTATTCAGCCTACACAAACATTCACAGACTGCCATGACTCAACATTTCCTAAAGCCCTTCCCAAGCCTTAAGGTATGGCTCTTTAGGCCTGGTTTTGCCTTCTTTGGAAATGTCAGGAGGGGCAATAGGAAGAGCCAAGGAGGAAAAAGGTCATGGTCTTCCTAAGTGGAAACCCAGCTGACAAAACAACTAAAAGCAATGCTTCTTGAAGGAGAGACACATTTTAAATGCTGATAATTTGAGGGTATAGCTCAAAAGAAAAGCATTTCCCTTCCAGGAGTAAGGCCTGGATTTTAGTCCATGGTACCCCATACACACACATACACACTCATACACACACATGCACGCACACACACAAACTTTAATAATTCGCAGATACGTTTCTGTGTTGTTCGTTTTTTATTGCAATAATGACAACTTCTTGCCCTTTAACCTGCCATTTTGTCTTCTTAGATTGTTTTTCAGTTTCTTTAAGTGTGAAAAATGAGCCTAAAAGTGTCCAAGATAAATTTTTTTTGGTTTGGTGAATATGTTTACTCTAAATGATCATATATATACTCCCCAGAGTACCATTTGATTTTCAGCTTTTGTACATAAGGTGTTTCAATTATATCTAAGCTTAATGGTGGAAATTTTTATCACAAACATTATATAATACATTAAAAAAGAATATCAAGAATATCAGGTAGGTATTAACTAAAGACAATGGTTTTAATCTTCAGAAGTCATGAAATTCTCTTTAATGTGTTTCTGTGTTTCTGTGTACTAGAAGGCAGAGCCTGTTTGCTAACCATTTGACTAGGGTGTTATCATGTTGGCTTCCTATATTTTTCCTTAGGAAGATACTAAAGAGTTCAGGTCAGCATGCTGTATGGTAAATGTCACTGAAAATGCAGTCTGGCGTTTTACTCTTGGCTCATTTCAAATAAACATGTTTCTAAATTAATCATAAACCAAGCTCATATATTGTAAATACATTTACAATGTCCGTGAGCCTTTCTCATGGTGAGTGAGATGTCCAGTTTCGTCACATGTCACACGGGATAGCTGCTAGCAGAGGCTGGGTTCCTTTCCTGAACCACTGAGTTCATGCTGCTGATACCCCCACATCCTGCCCGTGTTGGTAATGAGGACTGCCTGCTCCCCCAAGCTCAATTCTAATGAGCTGCTTGAAACATGAAGCATTCATGCAAGCTAGGACTAGTTGGTGCTTCAAAGCAATAACTGGCGGATATTTAGAGAGAAACAAGACTCATCCAAGAACCCTCCACTTCATTTAAAACACAAACATAACCCAAGATCCCAGTGGTTGTGGCCAGCCCACTCAGTGCAAGTACACCTACAAGAAAGAAGTCATCTGCCTGCCCACACCCCCTCAGCTTCAGCCAGCATTGAATGGAACCGCAGTGTAAATGGGCCAGAGAGGCTGCGGGTGATCTTTGCAGAGCAACCTAAGGAGAGAGAAAGGCTTCATACATGGGCCACTCTCGTGTGATTTGAAGGTAAGCTTTGAGCAGGATGTAGGAGCCCTGTCGTCTTCTGCAGTCTGATTTCTTGTTTCTAACAACTGGGATAAAGAGCAGAGAAGGCTCTATGTGCTGCTTTTCCTTTGTGCTTCAATTTGTAGGGAGAAAAGTATTTTTAAAGTGCACTGTGGGAGGTAAAGAATGCATTATTAAACACACTGGGTTTGATCTCTTTGATGTTTTTTTCCTACATTCTGTACACATTTTGCTTCCCTTGCTGATCATGTTTGAAAAAAATCATTTTTATGTGTACATTCATTAGATAAGGAGGAAACCAGGTGTTTAGGCAAAGTAAACAGTTAAATATTAACCAAGTCTCTTGAAGGCATTGTAAGTACTGGAGTTTTGCTGCTTTTGAGAGTGTTAGTTTTCCACAGTCTGCAGCTTAAAAGTGAGTTCTTGTTACCTGATATCTATGGGTGGACGTTAATACTGCAAGAATAACATGTTCCCTAGGAGCAAGACGATGGAAGAAAAGCCAGAGTCATTTTTCTTCTCCTTTTCCTTATTTATCTTCAAACATGTTATGGTGAAAGGACTTTTTGTCCGGTAGACAACCACCAGCGTGTCTGCCTGTGTCTTTTGCCTAACGCTTAAGGACAGGGAGAGGAAATGGCTAGAGTCAGGCTTCTTTCGTCTGCCATAGTGATGGATGTATTTGATTCCAGGAATATCCAAGACAGATCTCTTCTCAAAGTGTACAACAAGGACCCTTCACATGCATTTAACCACATGGTGAAAGCCGTGAATGGAGACCTGAGGGTGAGTACCACTGTTCTAGTTCTGACTGTATTCCCAGCTCACACTGTCCCTCTTTTCACACTCTACTACCATGGTTCCTGGGTTCATGCTGCTGGGCTCATCTGGTGACTCATTATTTGTTTATTGGTAAAACAATAAGATTTCTTGTTTACTTGGAGCAAAAGTATCAGAATGGGTAGGTTCTGCCTTCATCCTCTACACATGACCTTATTTTTTATTTTTATTTCTTTACTTATTTTCGTGGATGGAATACAGAGTCTCCCAAATCCTAGCGAGAGCCTTTTCACTGAGCTGTTTGGTATCCACAACCCCAAGCACAGGGTTGAGATAAGGCTTCACTCCAAAAATATCAAAGATATCCTGAAAGCCTTCCATATTGGTATCCTTGCTCTGTAATGCATTAGCTTACCTAGAGAAACTATTGCAATAGTTTCAGTCAATAAAAACAAAACAAAACAAAAAGTGCATGAGTTACATGGGAAAGCAATTCTTGTTCCCACAGTTGCCAGCACCCACATCTGGCTGCTCACTTGCTAACTCCGGACTGGTTGCTCTGTGTGGTAAATACTACCAAATCTTCTCTGAACTATGTTGAGGGACGAATACAAATACCTACGTGATCTAGAAGCTGAACTCTCTAGATTTAGGTCATCTAGGAGAGTACCCAAATATTTATAATATGCAGGGATGTTTAGTACAAGTCTGCTGGGAAGGGATGTGTCTAGCTACAATAAAGGTGGGGAATAAATTAATTTTTCAAAGTGAATTTCTTCCCCAACACATACAAGTGTGTATACAAATATACCTACAGGACACTGGAGTTTAAATTAAGAAATTGTTATTGTCAATGAGTGAGTAAGTTGCTCTGTCCTTACCCACACTGTACATGTGTTTCTTCTTGCTGCAGAATGAATGACGGCCATTTCCGTGCACTAAAGCAACAGGAGTCTTAGCAATTAAGGACTCAGCAGTGTAGCTGACTTCTTTTCTAAAGAGTCAGTGCATTCGTGCATGCACACCAGCATGTGTGTTTCTGTCCTATTTTCCGGAAATCAACCATAGTGCTTTACAGTTCTGTCTTCAATCCCAGTAAAATAATATCCCTCTGGACCTGCTTCCATTTTCAAATCTCCTGTCTTCTGTTGTCCACTTTTAAATTCATTTGGAATTAATGTGAAGCTACGTAGCAGTCTGCAAAAATCCTCGTATTTTCATGCAGATTGGACAGCCGCCTTAATGCCCCTTTCCTTTGTAACCTAACGTCACATGTGTGGGGCACTGGGATGCAGACTCTATGGAGGACCATAGCTCCATCTTCTGTGAGGAGCGTGCAAGTTTAAAACCAAGAAAGGGGTTTTACAGATTCAACTGAGGGCCCTGAAAGAATTTCTGTGAAAGTGTGAATTGTTATTTGAGTGAAAGCACCACAGCCCACCATTTGGAGGGAAGGCCTATTATGTCCTCAACTGCCCCCACCCATTTATAAAATAGTATGTGATTAAAACCAAAAAGCTGCGGGACTACCTCAGAAAAATTTAGCATTTTGAGATTTGTTCTTAGTCATTTACTCTTTCAATGCAAGCCAGAGCCATATGAAGACTGTGGGCCATGCTGTTAGTGGAGCTTAGGTGGACATTATGAGACCCTCCCTTAATCAGCTCTGCTGTTCTTTTTTGGGGAACATACCTAGGTCTTTGCCGTTTGGATATATTTAGTTTTGGTGCACCAGCCTTCCTTCCGCCTGCTGTTCTGCCATACTCAGAGTTGTTTCTGTTCTGCAGAGCCCTTCTCCAGACAGGCACCCTGCTGTTGTTTCTTAGAGCCCTATGTATGGCTAAGGAGGACACCTGTTTTAACTCTTAAGCAGATGTGGTTGCCTACACAGTACCAGGAACATCAAATGTTAACCATATGCCCAGCGCCTATTAATATGCAGAAGCTTTGCTCTAGACTCCAGCAAAGACCTTCAGCTTTGGTTTGTGGGTAAAACAAAAGTGATTCCTTTCTGGATTGGTCACAGCCTACTTCAGATACCGTTGTGTGTGTGAGAGAGAAAGTCAGTTACCCTCAAATAACGGACAACAAGTGTTCACAATGTAGTTAGCAGAAAAGTCCTTCTGGTTTAGTGAAGATTACTCAGGAATGAGAAATTCAAAAAGCTCTTTCAGAAACATCATGTCTGAAGCTTATAACGTAGACCCTGTTCCCAGATTACACACACTTTAAAGATGTGGCACTTTTCAGAGATTCCCTTTGGGCTCTGTTGGAGTTGAGGCTGTTTCTCCTCTCCCAGTAAATATGGCTGCATTGCTGGAAAAGGGCTGGAAGTCTGGCTGAGCCCTGCCTGCAGTCCGGCTGTTTGACTTCACTGCTTATGGTAAAGAACAGAAAAGGGACAGCAAGTGTCAGTCATGCTTGTAGACAAAACCAAGCCACATGGTAGGCCAAGGCGCACTCTGTGTGTTGGCAGTGTGAGTGTGGCTATGGGAGAATCCCGTGATAACCTTTCACATCCATCAGTCACAGCAGCTCCCTTCTGTCATTAGACTTCGCTCAGCAGCCCCAGAGTCAGCCTAGGCCAGACTGCTCACTCCTTACCAATAAACATCAGATGAAAAAAACGTGAATTGGAAGAAGCAGAGGTGCTGTAACAGCGATGCCTGGATTCTGCAATGACCTCTGAGATTTTCCCTAAACAAGGACTTTAATACCTTGCCTTTGAGTCAGAAAAAAATGTAAGACTGTGGGTCTGCAGTTTATAGGCAGTTCTCCCCGAGCGGTTTTACGATAGGATGGTGTTGCCCAGGAAGCAAGTTAGACCAAAGCATTAACTCTGAGGTTATGGGCCTCTGAGTGCACATGGAATTGATGTTGGTGGGGAAGCAGGCATCTAGTTTTCACTCACCGTCTAGCTGAGCATTGCTGAGGTCCCTCTATCTAATGAGACTTATTCTTTTTGGCTAGAATGGAACATACCTAAGTGGACTCCTGCGCCTGCTGATTCTTCCCACTTGGGTGTAAAACACCCAATCTAATTTAGTCACATGGCTTCTGTTTTTTACATCAGGTAGCTTTGATAAGTCAGTTTCCAGGACACTGGCCCCACTGTATGGATCAGGCCCTTCTGAATAAATTATTTGTGCTTATTCACAAATTATGTATACCTCAAAGATCATCCGTTCTGTTTTGTGGCTCTCAGAGGGGACTTCTGGCTCCCTGTTCACTAAACTTGGTGGTTATCTTACCATTTGGGCCTTCTCTATTTCTTGTGTACATTGATATTTTCCAAGATTCCCTGATGTCACTCTGCAGTGCTCTCAGCCTACTGTGGATCTTACTCATGTGTCTTTAGTTTTTTTACTTGAATACAGACTGCTAGATTTGCATTTAGGACACACTCCCAGAATTAACCCTGCATCGTAAATTAACTACCAATACCCAAGTCAGATGCAGCTTCCCAGTTTTTGTCTATTTGAGCTTTGTGTTTGACACCGAGGAATGGTCTCCGTAGAAACCATTGGCTTCCATTCCACACCATAGCTCAATTCTTTGCCTCCACTCACACAGGTCCTAGCTTCCCTGATTCAGTAGACTTTCCCATTACTCCCCAGGGGTTGTGTTCTGGCAAGCTTTATGCATTCTGAGTTTTTTTGGTTTTTCTTTTGTGTTTTTGGGTTATCCTTTTAGTTTGTCCTTGAACTTGTGATTTTTATCTTATCACTGCCTTAACTACTGATTAAACACTATAATCCCTGTGAGTGAACCTTGAAATGTATTCCTAGATCCATTCTCTGTAATTCCAAACCCAAGAGTATAACCCGTCAGCAGCTGTCTTCACGTTGATTTTCTTGCAATATTTATGTATGTAATATTGAAGAAGAACTTTCTTGATTCTCTGTCTTTGAGGGATGGACTGCCTGTGTTTGTATGTACTCATACTGCGTGTTCACCCATGCATGTTCAGGAAATGGAGTAGGAAAGATTTGAAAACAGTGAGATTTTGGCTGGAGAGATGGCTCCATGTTTCAAAGCAAGTACTGCTCTCACAGAGGACCTGAGTTCACTTCTCAGCACCCACATCTGGTCAGTTCCAACCCCATGCAACTCCAACTTCAAAGGATCAGACACCCTCTTCTGGCCTCCTCAGGCTCTGCACTCTTGTACCCAAACCCATACACTGCTACACATATTTTAAAATAAAAACATTTTTAACTGCATTCTCCATGATTCTTTTCCCTGAGACCTGTCCTTCAAAATATACTGCCATTCACCAGCCTTCCCCCATGTCACTCACAAAGCCGCTCACAGACAGTCCTTTGGCTGTTTCCTGTATTAATATTCCTGTAAATGCTAATTCGTGAGCCTTTTTAGGTACTTTCAGGTGTAATTTCATTTAACCCTCAAAACAAAACTTTGAGTCAGACATTGGTGTAAGTCCACATATTTATAGCTGATGAACACTTGTCTGTGTTAAGCAGTTGTTTAGCTAGGAGGCGGGTTGCATGCAGTGGGCTGGCTTCCTAGTCAGGGAACACAGCTCACTCCCTGTGCTTTAACTGCAGAGCTCACTACTTCACATCTCAGTTCTTCCCATGTCACTTGCTTCCTGTCCGTGGTGTCTGCAGTCCCCTATGTCTCCAGATGTGTCTGCCTGCTGTGGTTTGAGTGTGTCGGAAATGTGGCCTGAAATGTCACAGTAGTGAGAGGTGGATTATTGGGGCTCTTTTGAAAAGTGATTGGGTTCTGAGAGAACCAACTCAGAAAAGACTAATTTAGTTCCCCAAGCTAAATTACTTACTACAGCATGGCTCTCAGCAAGTGCGGCCGCTCACATGATGAGCATCTCTCTCACATGCCATTTCCCTTTCTGCTGTTTCACCTCAGTGCTGCACAGACTTGCCCTCACCATTCACCTGCACCATGCTATCTGTATGTCCTAGCCAACAGAATGGAGGTGTGGGACAACACCTCCCAAAAACCCCCAACCCTTGTATATTTTG